TCCCTTCCCGTGCCTTAACATCTCTTAACACTTTGGCGATGGAGGTGATAACTGAGTTTGAGTTGTGCGAAAAGTACGGAAACCAGGTATGAACAAAGAACGATTGTGTCCTACCGTGCATGCTTATCCTTGTGAGATTTTTTTTCATCATCATATTATTTGATATTGCTTTTGACAAATGTAAAAAAAAAAAAAAAATCCAGAATTAAATTATCATTCTATTGTAAAATTTTATTTTAAGTTTCAAATTTTTATTTCATCTTACAAAATGTCATTCCAATTTTAAAAATTTTCGTCTTACTTGAACATTTTTCTTCCAAGAATGGGGTACCCCTTCTTATTTGAATTGCATGTTTGAGATAGAATGAAAGTCTGAATGAGTTCATGAAATATTTTAATTGGACTATCATTTTAAGTAAGGATTTCCAGTCTAAGTTAGAAAATATTTTTTTTACTAGAATGAAAGTTTAACTAAAATATTTCATTAACTCGTTCAGACTTTCATTTCATATTGAACAAATAAATATAGTTGGAAGGAAAAACTCATATTTAGACGGGAACTTATTAAATAAAATTGTAAATTTTAGAATTGGACGCAAGGTCACCAGCTCGTACGTACGAAGGTCCCCGAGCAGACCTCCGTACGTACGGGCGTTCGGGGTCCAGTATGGGGTCCGAACCCGACGGCGTTCGGCCCCCGCCAAAAAATATTTTGGGGCCTAGAAAAAATTATTTGTTCCTGATTTGTTTTTTTTGAGTTCCCTATCACGTTAGGTATATGACTGTAAATTTTCAAGTCATTTAGCTAAGCCAAATAAGAATTAAAAATCGCCAAAGATGGCGGTGTCAAAACGTGCACGCCCACGTAGTTTTTCACTTTTTACTTTTCCTTTTCACTTTAGTTGGGGGTCTAAACAATTTTATTATTTTTTGAAACTTTTTTAGTGGGTTTTGTATTATGCGAAGTACACATCTGTAAATTTTCAGGGCATTTATCTATGCCAAAAAAAAAAAGAAAAATCGCCAAAGATGGCGGTGTCGAAAACATGCTCGTGCACTCACTAAATTTAATTCTCTTTTTATTTTTATTTATTTTTAYTATTAGTATTTGTTCTGTGTATTTTATTTTTATTTCAAATTTGGTAAGGAATTCGGACGTTATGCTCAGGCAAATCTTGTTTAATTTATTTTTCTCCATACCATATCCTTTTTTCATATTTTTTTGATGATTTGTTTTTACTTTTTTTATTTTTTTTGATCCGCGTTCGATCCGAACGGCCGAACGCATCCCAAAGGGTCCCCACACGTTCGGGCGTTCGAGTTCGAGCGTTTGGCCCGTCCCGAACGCCGGTTACCTTGATTGGACGAATATTGGAATTATAATTTATAAATATGAATGATTTTTTTTTTAAGGAATGTTTTTTCAACTTTCATTTTTCGTGGGAACTTTTATGTTGGTCTCCTTGATGCATGGGGGAATCATTTTTTTGCTTGATCCATACCATCGATGATGATACACAGGCCGTTCTGTTTTTTGTGTTCCGACTCGGCGGAGCATAAGCTGTACAATTTTCAGTGTGCAGACTGTCATGCAATGTGTTGTTTCTATTTTGCGACAAGTGCCCGTCTCAGCTCGGCAGAGCACCCTATAGGAGGATGGTATTCTTAATGCACTCGTTGCATCTCGCGTAGTCGGTCACCCTTGTCAGACGAACGTGCCATAAAAAGTCCCTCCACATCTTGCAGAAGACTTGGTACGACGAGCAGTAGACACCAAGCTTAGAGAGCCGTCTACGAATGTTGTGGAAGACGTCTTTCTTTGTGGCGTACACCGATGGAAGCCGAATGTGATTTCTTATCTCGAAGTTCGGGCCTGTCTTAGTCTGATCTGGCATGGGATATGACTCGTCCAAGATTATGTCATCGAACGCCGACCATGTAATGGCGTAGGTGGTCGTTGTCCGCGGACATCCGTCATGGTTGTGAAGAGCATCGACTATTCCGTCGTCGAGGTCATCACTGTATCTTTTGAACGTGTTCCGACCGACACCTAATAGGAGACACCAAGCAGTGACGCACACAAGGTGCAACTGCACCATTGATTTGACTGTCGGCGTACGCTCAACTAACGAAATGAAGTTATGAAGTTTCACTGTCCACCACTTCCGCCTATCCTTCCCTTTGAGAATGCGGTAGTCATGTATACACTTCATCTCACTTCCGCCTATCCTTCCCTTTGAGAATGCGGTAGTCATGTATACACTTCATCACGTCCTCTACTCTCAGTTTAGAAAGACATTGATATGTCAACAACCATTTCGTCAAAACGGACATATTATATTTTTTGAACGAAATCAAAACTGAATTTTTTTGCCAAAATCCGGTCGGAATTTTTTGCTCCTGGGGGTCCGGCGTTCCCAAAACGCCGGACCCCCCTGGTCTATGGTTGAGACCAGATACTTTTTTTT